CAATAAAAAAAGAGAGTGGAGTCCAGGGATCAAAAGTGTGATTAATGCCTGTAGCTGGGATCATCTTAAATTGGTTTAGAAGGAAGAATCTGGAACTAGGCTGTCTGACTTCAAAGCTCACCTCTTCCTCTTTCTGGATGTGTGCTGTAAAATTTTTTTTTGACATCTGTTTATAAGAATGTGTCCCAGTTCAATAGAAATAATAGCGTCTCTTTCTATATCCCCCAGATTGAAAATGTGCATTAGACTATTATTTAAAACCCCAGGCAATCTTACAGTAAGGACACCCATTGAATCCAGTATTTTCAAACCCAAAGAACTAGGTGACTACTTTGAGAACATATTTATTCTGAAAGTAGGTATCCCGTGGACGACTTTTAGGAAACGACTAGTATAAATCAAAGTGATCTGATTTTAGTTTCCTATACTCTGAAGGGATACTTTAAGTAGAAACAGCGATCTTGCTAAGAAGTCATCTTTTCTTTTTGTCCTTTTTCTGAATACTCCTGCAGCATCATTATTACTATGTTTTGTTTGAACACAAAAAGTACTGGAGTCTGGGAGATTCTTAAAAATGTAAAAATTTCTAAAATTCCATCATGGAAAATTATGCACCTGTGATGCACAGATAGTTTTACTTATGAAAGGGAACTAGGGTGAGAATAATGAAAAATTTGGAAGACAGCCTACTTTTAAAGGTTATCTGTTCAGTTATAAACACTTGCTAAACATCACCTAAAGTGTATAGGTGATGAAGAAAGAGCCTCCCAACTACAAAAAGTATAAACAAAATCATTTAAAAGTTATTATCAGGTGCAGTCATCTGCTTAAAATATAAAACTTAGGTTTTACTTTCCTGTTTTTTGGAGATCCCATAAACTAAGAAAGTAAAATTATTATTGAGATTTCAAAACATTACTTGCAAATTGTACTTTCTTACTCCGGTTAATAAGGGGTCCTGGTGGCACAGAGAGTTAGTGTTTGGCCGATAACTACAAGGTCAGCTGTTTGAGCCCACCAGCCACTCCACAGGAGAAAGAAGAGGCTTTCTGCTCCTGTAAAAATTCAGAAACTTGGAAACCCACAGGGGCAATTCTACTATGTCATATAGGGCTGCTATGAGTCGGGATCTACTCTGAGGTGGTGAGTTCGAGTTGTTTTGTAGTCTGATTAATAGAAATACATTTTTGTTTTTTTTAATTGTACTTTTTTCAATGATTGATTGCATCATTTGATTGCTAACTTAAAAGTTGGCAGTTCAAGCCCTCCCATTGGCTCTGTGAGACTAAGGCCTAGCCATCTACTTCCACAAAGGTTACCAAACTCATTGTCATTGAGTTGGTGCCAACTCATAGCGACCCCCCTGTGGACTTCTGTAATGTTTACGGGAGTAAAAAGCCCTGTCGCTCTTCTGAGGAGCAGCTAATGGTTTTGAACTGCCAAGGATGCGGATCTCAGCCCAATGTATAACCACAACTGAGATAATTCTGAGTAGTTCTACGCTGTCACATGAGGTCTTTATGCGTTTAAATCGGCGATAACACCAAAGAACATTTCATACTGAAGAAAGAAACTGAATAACAAAGGGCTTTGATGTCAGGTGGCTCATTTTTCCATAGTGCGATCTTAGCAAAACTACTTCATCTCTGAGGCTATCCATTTGTGCTTGTGCAAAGTGGGGTTATTTGAGGATTTGGGTAAAAATGTATAGCTTAGTGCTTATAATTCAGAAAATCTTGGTTCCTTTGTTAAAATATTTTCTGAGTAATTGAGAATAATTATTGGTAAAGCAACATGTAATTTGGAAACAAAGCCAAATTATGGGCCCAAAGTGTATATGAATCTATGTGTATACACACACACACACACACACACACACACACATATTCAGGGACTTTGGAATAAAAATAATTTTGGAAGTATTGCTGCAAGTTGTTTTCAAAGATTTTCTACTGCTCAACCATTCTTTAAGATGGGAATTTACTAATTGTACTCTGTAATGAAGATTAGATTACAATGTCATTTCAGCACAGGAATGAGCAGTTCATTGTGTTTGGGGCTTCTTGAGGTTGATGATACCTAGGTTTGAGATTTGAAGATCCAATCCAGGATTAACAATAAACTCCAAGGTCCCCTAATGAAAATTCCCTACATGCAATACAGAGTACCAAGTGAGCATCAGTGAATGTAATGGAAATCTTGTCCTCATAATACAAACATTGTCAGATGAACAACCAAAGCTGTGAACGCAAAGGTAGGTGAGCTGCTTCTGCAGTGGCAGAGATGAGAATCTTGTGAACTGTATTCCAGTGTGATTGGATTCTCATTCATGGAAATACAATAATTTTGTAATCTGAAATATGATCCTGACTTTCATCTTTGTTTCCTTAGGAAGAATTCTTCATGCTGGCACACTGATCCGTTTACTCAGCCAGAATCCCAGAATTTATGTGGTTGCCAGGTAGGCCTTTTGCAGTGGTTTTGCTTTTTTAAAGCATCACTTTCAAGAAAAATGAGTTTATTCCAACTGTAAATTGTTATCATTTGGATAGCTGAATGATGCCCTAAGACTTGATATATTTGATCTATTTATGGGAAAATGTTGCATCACACGAAATGGACATTTACATGACAAGGAAATTATGTAAGCATGACCTTGTTTTTCTTAGTGATTACCTGCCTGTGGGGTCACTGTGAGATGAAATCAACTCAGCAACATCTCAGAAGAAGAGCAACAGTGATTATTAGCATTGCCATTACCAGTAATATTTGTTAAGCAAATGTATCTATTTTAATAAAGGATGAAAGAGCTCGAATTTTCCTTTGGCTAGAAAAGTACCGGAATTTCAAAGCAGGATGTGACAAATTACTAAAAACTAGGTAGCTTTTTTTTTTTTTAACTGTGCTTGAGTGTATTTTTACTTCATCGATGAGGAGCTCTAGAATCTTTTATTTATTTATTTATTTTAAAATCATTTTATTAGGGGCTCATACAACTCTTATCACGATCCATACATACATCAATTGTGGAAAGCACATTTGTACATTCATTGCCCCAAACTATGTAGCTTAAAGGAGCCCTAATGGCAACTGTTGAGTAAACATTGATTGCTAACCTCAAAGTCAGTGGCTCAGAACCCACCAGCCAGAAGGAAAACAGAAGAAATAGAACAAAGAAAGGCTAACGCTTGCATACTGCAGTGGTTCTCCTGCAGTGTCCGAGGCAACAGGGGGCCGGCCGGGACACGCGGTATGGGCAACGTGTGCTCTGCTGTTCAAGGGAGCCCAGTGAGATGGGAGTGGGATGCCTGATCCTGGACAGTTTCTGCTCATCTCGAAGGTGAATGGTGCCAGAGCTCTTGGTCTCAGATGGATGCCCAGGCACTCAAGAAAATGGCTGGGTTCAGGCCACCTGGTTCCAAAAAGAGTTCCTGTAGGCCCAGAGGGCTTGGAGGCAGGGCACCTGGTCATGGAAGTCATTTCTGCCAGCTTATGGTACAACTGGTATCAGATACCTGGTCCCCGATGGAGTTCCTGCCAGTTCAGAGGGCAGCTGCAGTCAACAAGCTTGATTCTGAAAGGAATTCTGGCCTGTCTGCCAGGTGCTTGGAGTCAGGTGCCCATGCAGCACTGTGCAGTCTGCTAGTTCTAGGATTACGATGTGCATGTCTCTAAAGGTGGACATGGCATGCACCTGGTACCCTATCCATGAAGGCAGGTCTCTGGTTCAGGTGCAACAGGGGTTGCATGGGTGGCATTGACCTCCAGGTGGTTGAGGATAGCAACTATTTACAATTCTCATTGCCTGGAGAGTATGTCGAAAAATAGGTCGATCACATCATTCTGTCTATTGGTTACCAGGGTGGGCACTAGTATTGCTCTTGCAGCATTAGAACCAATAATCAAGATGACCTCTGTAGCAATGTGAGTTAGACCTTGGGCTACTAACCTCAATGTTGGTGATTCCAACCTACCAGCTGCTCCTCAGGAGAAAGATGAGGCTCTCTGCTCCCATAAAGATGTATATAGTCTTGGAAATCCTATATAAGGTTGCTGTGAATTGGAATTAACTTGATGGCAGCGGGTTTGGTTTTAGTTTGGCCCCCACTGAGTGCCTCTTGCAAGAATTCATAATGGCCAAGCTTTGTCAGACTGAAATTCATCATTCCCTTTCATCTCCTTGTTCCCTGTTTGTGTTTAGCTTCCTCTCCTAATCAATATTTGATCGATTTTTCTATTTCCTCTGAAGGTCAAGGTTTCAGTATCATCATCCATATCTGCTTCATTTCATTCTAGTGTCTTTATTTTAGATTCTAAAATTTAGAGGGTTTGGGTAGCCTGTCTACCTAGTTCACCATCTTCCTGGGAATTTTATTGTTCCATTTTACAGCTTTCCCAAGCCTTTCTATGAAGAATCTAAAGGCAATTCCCTAAACTTGTATACTTCAACTTTGCTATACACACACACACTCATTGCCATTGAATTGATGTTGACTCATAGAATTTCCAAGATTGTAGCTCTTTATGGGAGTAGAAAGTCTGTCTCTCCGATAGAGTAGATGGTGGTTTCAAACTGATAACCTTGCTGTTAGCAGCTCAATGGGTTACCACTGCACTACCTAAGCACCTTTACTTTTTATAGTGCTTTAATATATATCAGAATCTAACATAGCCCTTGAGTTATATAAGGCTACTTTAAGTTCCTTTTCACAAATGAGAAAAATGAGCTCTAAAAGCTGAAGAAAAGTGTCGTAGAGTCTCAATTATTTTTAACTTGATCTCAGACATGGAAAATAGGCATGCAAAGTCCGAGCCTTGTCTGTGACTGGGAGGATGCCATGTGCCCCCTATGATCTCTCAGGTCCTTATCTGTTCATTATTCAATGATTCAGAAATACATGGTTTGTTCTATAGTAGTTCAAGAAGAAGTATTTGGTTTATATTTTACACATTTGTAAACATAAGACATACCTTTGAATTCCCCTTTTCTCTTCCCTTTAGTTGCCTTTGACCCTTTGGTTGATCAACTGTAATATCTCACTAGTGAAAAGTGTTTTCCATTAAATGTGTACCAAGCAAACCAACTGCACCTACAGGAACGGTTTGGAAGTCTCTAAAGATAATTCACAGCAAAGGTCACAGACAAATTCTAACAGATCGTCCACCTTAGGAGCCCTGATGGTGCTGTGGCTGCCAACCAAAAAGTCAGCTCAAATCCACCAGCTACTCCATGGGAAACAGTAGAAACTGCTCCCATACAGATTTATTATCTTGGAAACTCAAGTAGTGTGTCTATGAGATGGGATTGAATCAAAGGTAGTGGGTTTTTTAAAAATTGTTTTTTATTTGTTTTCGGGTGTGGGGGGAATTTAGAAATTTTATAAACTGGAACAGATGAAAGGCAATACATATGTATATGTTTTAAATTTAGAAAAACTTTAGTTTAAAGTCCTATCAGTAAGCCTGCTTGTCACCTATGAATGGTTTTACATTGTATATCTTTGAAACATATTACAGAAGTGTCCCAGTGGAAGCTCTGGTGCTCCCTACCTGAAAAACCATCTGGGCCACACTCTACTGAACCTTTCTGCCTTCAACCTGGAAGAGTTTTTGCTGGTGGCTTCTAAAAAACCCAGGTGTGTTCAAGGTACACCGTTTTGTTGTTGTTGCTCTCTGCATGTTTCCTATTGTTTTTGAATTGCTTTTGGAAAACTATTGTTTCAAATTGTAGTGTTCTTAAAAGCTCAAAATTCTGCTACAAATGGGTTGTTCATAGAAATTCCAAGGATATTCTGCAGACCTTGATAAATTTCTGACTGTTGATTATCTTTTGGAATGGGGAAAAGAAATAATATCAATTGAGATTCTATTAGTGGTACAAGCAGGGGGATCAGAAATGTGTACTTAATTTTGAATAGAAGAGCAGATTAATTACAGACATAATGAAATAATTATCACCTTTTACAATTCTGTGCAGTTCCTAATACAGGGACCTGGGTATTTCGGCTGTCTTACAACTCTCGTAGGTAATTTTTGAAAATAACAAAACAAAACAAAAAAACAAAACCTGTTTTGTGTGTAAGGAGATGGGTGTAGATAAAGGAAAAGCAATGAAAACATACTGCTTTAAACCACTTATCATTCTCCACTCCATGAGATTACTTACAGTTCCAAACACAGAACAATGCTTCCCAATAACTACTGAATGCACCCAGTAGCTATTAACTATGGTGCCCGGGGTACCTCACCCTGGATACCTGTCTTATTATTAGTTGCCATCGATTTGGCTACAAATCATAACAGCCTTAGGTACAATTGAATGAAACAACTCCTGGTCCTTTCTCACCTTCATGACCACTGATATGTTTGAGTCTATTGAGGTGTTATTGTTGAGACTAGGTGGCTCATCCTGCTGAACTATATGGCACTTCCTGCACTAAATTGGGATCCGTAGGGTTTTCATGGACTAATTTTGGGAAGCAGATTTGACAGACATTTCTTCCTAGTCCATCTTAGTTTGAAAGTCATGTTCTTCTGAAAGCCTTCCATCAAAGGTGACCCTACTGGTATAGGAATACTGGTGGCATCATTGCCAGCAACGTATCACAGTATGACAGACCATTGGTGGGGACACCTGCCCCACTTTAAGGAATTTGCAGCTTCTTTTCTGTGGCCTCACATTTTATGGTCTTTAAAGGTGTTCTAAAATCATTAGGTTTCTACCTACATGGCTAATATATATTTTTTAATTTGGGCATTTAGTTTCTCTGAATTAAAAATAGTGCTTGACACATAAGTGGAACTCAATTAACACTTGAATGAATTAATTTCAGCTAAGTGGGACTGTGTCATTATTCCTTTACTTCAGCTTTTGAAGAGAACCAGCTTTAACTGGCCCTTGCTTGCCTTTACTCTGGAATAAGATTATTCTTCACTTTCTTTTTATCCAGAAAGGATGGCATGGAGTATAATAGATACTTTTTTTATGATGTTTAAGACTTGTGGGAGTTCACATAGCTTCATATAGCAAATGGGTTATTTAAACCCAGTGTAGTGTGTGATACAATGGAAACATGGGGTATGCTGAAACCCCAAAGAAAAGGAATATCTAACCCAAGTGTAGTATTCTGAGATGCCTTCCTGAGCAAGGCAGCATTTGGAATGAGTATTAAAAACGCATGTCTAGCAAAGACAAAATATTATAAAGATTTGATTACTTAAAAGATCATATATCTATAAATAATTAGTTGTGACTTGTTTATAGGGGAATGACCTTAATTAAAATATAGTGCGAGTGATCAAAGCTATAACCTTTGCCTTGATTTACCAATGTTGTCAGTTTAGATGAATATACAATGACGTAGAGAGCTTTATCAATGCATTTTCCATAAGCAATACCCCCACTCTATGCCTCCATACTAGGCATGGTCAGCAGCATGCTGTTTGGGTAATTCACAGGTGATGAATGCTCAGATAACTACTCTCCTATGGCCACTGTAACTTCATTACCATTGCAAATGGTAATGAAACACTTGTACTCTGACTAGAAATTCATGAACTCTCCAACAGAAGAACTAACATAATGTTTCACGTTGATAGGCTTGGAGGTTGGTCTTTTGGAGAGCGAATCTCTGAACAAGCTGAAGATGCCAATTCAAATTTGTCCAAACCGGAACCTCTGGCAAAGGTAATGTGTGGTGTGTGTGTGCGTGAGAGAGAGAGAGAGAGAGAGAGACTGGCTTTGAGAACATATTCTATTCTGATACCTATTTGGGGGATTAAGTGAACTGCATCAAATTCTGGTGTTTGTTGCTGTGAAATATGACTACTCCCTTGAAATAGAAATTTAACATTTCTTCTTAGACTGTATAAAACTATCACGAAGAGGTTGTTTGATGATAAAACAAGAACCCATCTAATAGATCCAAGTGAAGTGATAGACTATTTAGAGACACGTGCCCCTGTGGGAACTAGAAACGTCCCGTTTCCCTGTGGCCAGCAGTTCTTCCGTACCCAGAGTTAAACTCCTCATCTCCCAGAGCAGAAGGGTCTGAAACTAACATGATAAAAACAGCAGCCAGGCAGAACTATTCTTAGGGTCCCTGGCTTTTCCAGCCCTGCCAGCACTATTTCATAGGAAAGAGAAATCAAAGAGGTTTCAAGTGTAAAGAGGACAGAGAATTAAAATGGCAAATCAACCAGTAATAATAGAGAGAAGTGGTGGGTGCCAGAGACTTTTTAAGGGAAAAAATCCACAAAACCTTAAAAGATTCCCCACTTTTGGCTTCCATGATTGAGTAAACAGGATTGCGTTTGATTGAGAGAGAGAAACTGGGACAGAGTTAAAAACAAACACAAAACCCTGAAAACAACAACACACACAAACAAACCAGGCCTGGCTCATTGTTTGACTTTGGAGTCAGAGTAGATTGATGGAGGAGTGTTCCCTGCTGTACTCTTCAAAGGAGCAGACTTCCGCTTCTCGGGAGCAGCCGGTGGGTGGGTCCCACTGCTGGTCCTTTGCTCATAGCTGAGAGCTCAGCCCTGCACCTGCGAGGCACCTTATTTATGTACTAGCACATTAAGATACAGAATACGATGTGGTGTTTCTTTCTTTATAATATGCTTATTGCTACATCCCATCGTGTAGCTAATGCAATAATAATGATTTATGTCATATACAGAAAATCGTTCAAAACACAAACAGGAAACAAACAACAAAACCCCAGCAGCATTAACTAAAAAACAAGCAACAAACCAGAAGAGCCTCAATCAAAAAGAAAACAGAATATTAAAAAAACCTGAAACCACTGTAGAATGGGTCAAATGGAAGATCAAATGATATCGTATTACACTTTAACCTAACTGGTGCATCTCCTTTCTGTATGATACTAAGGGTATTCACAAGTGTGGACAATGATCAGAGGGGATTCACCAGAGACTTACTTCACGTGCGTCCTTGCAAATGGACTTTGGGCTTCCACTGCCATCCACAGTCTTCTGCAAATTGGTTGGTCACAATGTAGCCTCTGATACCATTCCCTCTTTCAGATTTGGATTTTATTATTTACAATCCTTGGAACACACAGGCTGGTCTGTTGTGCTTCTTCCTTATGGACTTAGTGGATACCTCCCTTAGGTGATTGCTTGATTGAAGAAAACCCTTTTATGCCCTGGACACTGTTCTGTCTTATAGCGAGGCACTACCTGGTTTCTTCACCACATTTTGCTACTGCACATATCTTCAGTGAACTCTTCACGAGAGTGAGTATCAAGCAGGCCCATGCCATATGAACTAATAGTTCTTAGATTGGGGCTAGAATTAAGTGTGAGCCCAAAATCCATTAAAAAAGAATGATTAATAATGCAATTAAATAATAATACTTTCTTATTATTAAATTAAATAATAAAAACAATGCAATTAAATTAATAATGAATCATTAATATGAATACAATTAACTATGCATGATATTATTAGTTGATAATATCCATATATTTGTGGGAACACATTTACTAGATATAAACACAAAAAAGTATCTTTTTCAGTCATTGAGCCAGATCTAAATTATTTGCCACAGACGACTCTGCTTGTTGAAGCATTTTAATTGGTATCCTGTCCATCTTGTAGCTTTGTTTTTCACCAGTGCATTCAGTGTAGCTTGAACTTCTTGCTTCAAAAAAATCTGTTTTGATCATATGTTTCTTCTTAAAATGGTGAAGATCAACCAAATATTTTTGGTACAGTGCTTCTGTGGATTCCTTTCTTCTTTGGATGCTTCTTGCACTGTTCAGTGTTTCTCATAGTCTTTCAATATTATAATTTAAAGCTTGATTTTTTTTTTATTCAATAATTTCAGATTGAGGAATATGGAACATGTTTTTGCTTCTAACTCCAGGTCTTTGCTCATTTCATTATAAAATTTTATTTAGTATTCTTAGACAACCCTTTGAAAATTTATGTTCAGCTCTCTTGCTTCATCACTTTTTCCATTAAAAAAATTATTTCACTTATTATTATTATTTTTGGAACAGCAGTTGTATTAGAAATTCTTTTAATGGCCACGCAGAATAAGTGACTATGGTGACATTTCAATCACTGATTCTAGCTTTTTATTAGTAAATCTTGATAATGATCTGAAAAGCTACAAATGTTATGTTTAATTTTTTTCTTTTCTTTTTCCCTCATTTTATTTTAGCTTTTCTACATTCTAGAGCAGTGATTCTCAAGCTGTGGGCCACGATCCCTTTGGGGCTGAACGACCCTTTCACAGGGGTCACCTGATTCATAACAGTAGCAAAATGACAGTTATGAAGTAGCAGCAAAAATAATTTTATG